AATAATTACAGACACAGTCGCTTTGTTTTCTGATCGTCAAGAATGCAACGGAGTCATTACGACTGAGAGACGGCAAAGAGTTGACCCTTTCACAATCGAATAAATCACGAGATTCATCGTTGTATCGTTTCCCCCGCGTGTCAGACTAATTCGTGTCGGACTTAATTATAGAGATGTCGAACACAATTGACCGGAAGAGTGTCCTTAACGCGGGGTGAGCGTAGATGTTGCACAGCTCGTTTCCTTCCCCCTGGGCGTCTTCGAGAAGGGTGTCAAGTCTCGAAAACTTCGCTGGAAAGTGATAAATAATGTCGACGCGGGGCAAAATCGCCCGGAACGAAGGGCTTTCGAAAGGGCACACGCCATTACCTCCAAGACGACTTGGGAACCTCGTACGATGCTTCATCAACGAATATTCCGGTGATACAGTAAACGTTCTGCCACCAGAGGGTGGGATGATAAAGAGGGGCGGGTTGAAAAGAGTCTCTACCCTGCCGAAAATGAAAATTGTATTGTCGGACTCCCTTATGAGGGAAAAAGCCAGGCATTATGTCCGCGTTAGCTGCGAAGACAGCGGTCAGCGCCCTTTCACAACGGTCATCAATGCGCGTCATCAATAATCGCGCCCTGACAGCTCTCTCGCCTAAACGCTCCCGGATATCTTCGTGGATTTTGATCCTACACGTCGAATCTATGATACAGTCGAAACGGGCACAATGAAGCCGTTGCCAAGGGGAGGAACTTCGAATATGCGCGACATTCGTTAAATAAAACTACCAGAAAGAATGCCGGGTGAAAAGTTTTTGACGATCATATTTCAGAGAATGGATTCGAAGTCGGTAAAACTGTACTTCGTCGAGGAACTCGAACGAAAGCATACGGCAGAGAGGAGGACTTGGTTTTCACTACTTTCAGATCTTTGCCCAGAAACTTTGGCAATTTATGCACCTTTTTCGCACGCGCTCGCTCGTCTTTTGTCAATGTCTACCGTACATTCTTTATCCTTGTTAGGGAATGTTAGAACAGCTTCAAAAAGCTATTTATACTGTAATACAATTAAAAATTGTCTTCAATATTACGCAATGTCGAATAAGAAGAATGTCGAGTGAGCATGTGATATGTTTCACGCACGTGTCGAAAGATATTAAGTCGGGGGAGGATATGAGGTGTAAGGATGCGGGGGCGGAAGCAAAGGATGCGTCGCATACATGGCATCGATCTTCATCCATCAGCCACGCCTTCAGTTTTTCCTTTGCGGTTATTTTCTTCTACATCGCTGGCAGATGTATCGCGAACGAGCCGTGAAAATTTTTCAATGAAATCGCACAAAAGCAACGCTCCACGTATATCATTTTCATCGCGTTAGACACGAGTAAGAATCCTCTTAATTTTGATAAGCGAAATATCCGTGCTCCTTCTTGCCGAATGCGAATTACTCTGCACGATTCATCATGTCTTTCGGTTCACGGGTGATTGAACCGTCGATTCGCGCTGGAATCACTTCGGCCCCCTTCTGTTTCCGATTCCGAAGAGTAGAGGGATTTCGCCCTCGATCATAGGAACCGCAAATCACTGCCTGGACGGGCTGACCAATCGTGACGAATGAGCGACGATGATTTTGCTCGGAATCGAACGGACGGACACAATGTAAATCGCTAATGGATCTCTCGTTCCCCTGTTTCCCAAATACGATTCTGAGAGTTTGTTTCTCGAAACGAGAACGTCTTCTGAATAGAATGCAGATACCCTCTTTCTTTGGACAACGACCAAACAAGGCCCGATCGTTCGTTAGACGGTCGCACGGTGAAAGAAGTCGATGAGTATTCGACGCATTAAAAATCTGCGAATCCTGGAATTCGTCTGGCAAGAAGATCGCAGGAAAACTTGAATCCACGGGTCAAAAACACCCTCTACGTTCTCCCGTACGAGACGTTCAAAGACACCGGTTCGAGCACGCATCGACAACGCATACCGGCGGCGTCGCGATCCATTAATTTCCGGGGGTAATAAAAACGGGCAACGGGCATACAGAGCGCGTGGGACAGATCCGCCCACGGACGGGTAGACAAAGAAGGATGTACGAAAGGACGAGGAGGGAATCGATAGTAAACGCTTTTTGGTATCGGCCGCGTTGTTTGCCTTCGGTATTTCGGCGAGGGTCAGAGGCGTGCGAGAAGGGCGCGAGAGCATGACGATCGTCGATGACGATGGCGAAGTCGTGGCATTGTACCCCAGGCACGTGCCGTCACAAGAGGAAACGAGCTCGGCCGTCGGTCGAGGCGTAGCTGGAGTCACCGAGGAACAGGCACAATGCTCTTGCTTCGTAGATATATGGACGGAATTAATTGATATCGCGTGCTCTGGCAAGGGTTGTTGCGTAAGCACCGTGGAAAAAGCAATCTTTGTTCCCGTTCGCGATCGGTTCGTCAGCTTCCTTACGCTTGGTTGAACACCGGTTTGCCGATTGATCGACACGTCCCGGGCTTGCGACCCTCGTTAGTCTCGTGCGCGCAGGTGCATCTTAATGAATAATTAACCGTCTTAAGGATAAACATGCACTTCTACCATTTGGTCCGCGACTTTGAAGTGACAAAGATGCTAGCTTTCAGGTGGGACCGTCGGAAGTGAAGTTATTATAAAAATAATCAAAGTTTCCCGAAGCAGGACGGGGAGTAACATTCGCAACGAGGCCCGGGCTCGTTTACCTCAGGTCGACGGCGCCCGCTCATTACGTTTGACGATTATGCGTTAATTTGCACGTAGCGATACTTCAAACGATTTTTATTCATCGCGCGTCCACGATGAGCTTCGCTCTTCTAACCGGGAAGTCGTCTGTCGTGTTCCTCTGGTAGCCCTCCTCCACTCTCGTAGACGAGATTCGTAGCGTCGAGATTCTTCGAGTTTTATATATTTTCAAGTTCTTCCTGTGCCGGGGATCAGGGGATCCTTGTCAAAGGACTCCGGGATATGATAATCCCGGTACCAAGCTGAATGCGTAATGAAGTTTCTACGGGCGACAAGAAGTGGACTTCTGATTAGCTTTGGCCTTTACGCGGCCCGCGCGTCGCTGCAAATTTTTCAGAAAACCTCGCAAATTGCTGCTGATATGACGCACTGACATTTTCAGACGACCTTTCATTCGTTCAATACTTCCATCAATGTATAAAATCATTTTATGTCAGATGCACTAATTTCATCTCCTGAGATCGTGATAGACAATAAACAGATTGTATTTCGTGTGTAATTTCCAATCTGTCGTGGACGAAGATCAGGTGGCGCGAAAAAGTTGCCCGGAATGGGTGAAATCGGGCTGATGATCTTCCCCACTGGAGCTCGAGGCGTAAAAACCCAACAGATTGGAAACCGCATTCGGTTAGATGTCCACCTTTTATCCGGCGGACAGAAGAGTGATCCTCTCGTTCCCTTTCGCGTTCACGCGTACCCTGTTCCGGGCTCCTATTAACTAATGCCGGCACCCCTGTTCGACGCAATGCCATACGTGCACCGGCTAACCAACCGGGGTAGTATCCAGGCCTGGTAGGACATGCCTGCTACGACGGGACAGTTTAAGCCCTGATATATCGCTCGTCGACACTCCCAACTTCTGTCGCCCGTTTCTCTGTAGCGCTTTTTTTCACGGAGAGGCCACGGTTGACCATATGTCCACGGAAACCAAGATCCCCATCCACCAGCGCTACTCCCGACTTCACGCAAATATGTTCAACAAAATGATAATCAAAAAGATCGTCAATATTCGTGCAAAGTAAAGACGTTCAGAATTCAGAAACAATGAAACATTAACTATCATAGCAAGCGCTGTACTTAAAGTTCGTTTAAAAAATCGGAATTTAATTAAAAGTAATTTAATGCTGTAAAAAAATTGTTACGATATCTTTTTTTTACGTTAATAAAAATTGAAATTCGTCGTCGGTGGTGCAGACGGAGTTAAAATTCGCGTTAATCGAGCTTAGATAACCCGGACCCCAGTTAGCAGTAACAAATGATGCCACATGTTCGAATCTCGACTCGATCTTGCTCTCGCACTCGGTTTTTCTCTTCGTTCGGCAGTAACCCGCGGGGCACGGAACATTCGGCCAGGCGTATTGAGGGATACGGGGTCCTGCGTTCGTGTAATTTGTACGGTTAAATGCTCGCGCAAAAACGAGGAGCAGAGGGAGAGAGAAGGGTAGACAATTTACACGAGGCTAACTGCCGCACTGGGAGCATTTACCAGGAGCTCGAATCGAATCGATCCTACTTAGCTGTTAATGGAACCTTATGCCAGTGAAAATTGCTGTTCGACTACGAGTGTCTTCGCGACGCGAGAGGACTCGCTGGTTAAAACCGTAACTGATGTCGACGGATGATCAGCATTGAAACTGTTCCTGGCCTTTTGTCGATGGTTGTCCGAGTGCCACCGAGCTGCGGGCAAAGTGGCCGTCGTTTCAAAAGGTTTAACCGATTGCCGGCTCTTTATCAACCACTTTACGAACGTCGGAAAAAAAAAGGCAGCCTCCGAGGTTCAACCTGTGCCGCTCATTGTGATTAATTCTGACATATGTCCGAGCGACGCTAGCATTCTAAAGGTCGCCGATTCTATTCACGAGGATTCTTAGCAGAGGATTTTGAGGTATTCAGAAAAGGAGAACGCCGGATACGCTTTTCTCCTATTATACGTAGAATCGACACGCGTATCGCTCTTTCATGTTCGACATTCATCTTAATTTACCACGGTCATTCATTGCGCAATATTCGAAGTCCTAATCTCTGTACAATATCTCTTTTACGAATCTATTTGATAAATCGAGATTACTTTTTATATCGGTTGTACTCATCGGTGTTTACTTATTCATCCGAATCGAGAGGGGTGGACTTCTACGAAAATCAATCGCTAAACGGAAGTCGGTAATTCTTTTTTGCAAGCCAGACGAGCACAATTTCATTTAATAACGCTCGTAAGAATAATTCGAAGTCGTCTCTTGGATAATACTTTCACTTACCTCCTCGTTTCCCCGCTTCATCTGTCCCCCGGGTTTGTCATCATCTGCAACAAAAATAGAACACTTTCACGCACGACTTTTAAGATTACAAATCACGATCTACACATGATATTAATGTCGCCGTTCCCGATTGAAATTTCGAAGGCGCGGCCCTTGCCGAAATAACTTATTGGCAATCGAAACAAATAATACCATTACGGTTTATCAGTTAATGAAAAGGCAGAGCGATAAAACCGCGATACGGTGTACGAATGAAAACGGAAACATGGAAGGGGAGTATCATCTAGGATAAAGAAACTCGGCGTTCCTTCGTCTCTTTCCCCCTGTCATTAATACCAGGCGACTGTTACATATGGATGAGAGAGTCGGGTTAGGCCAGGACAGCAGCGAGAGACGAAAGCGAAACGGGTCGTAGGGAAGCGAAACTCATCGACTAAAAGCATCCACGAAAGACCGAAGTCGTTTCGTTCCAGGAGTCCGCGACGAGAGTCCTCTCCAGTGGAGAACCTTCGATAAGGTAAAACGGGGTTCAGAGTTTACCTACGATTTCAATCGTCCGCAATCTCGATTTCACGGAGTCGCACAGCGTTAGCATTAGATTCGCTTTGGCTTTTCCTGCGGCGACAACGACGATGACTCGGCTAAGCGGGAACGAGGTCGAGTTATTTTCGTATGGTTTCCATGGACGCGCGTAACCTTCGTTTATCGTCTCACCGGGGAATTTATCCTGCGAGTGGTCTCAGGGTCGTGACTCCTTCTATCCGGTCCGCGGAACGATAAATCTGAGCCCGTGCCCCCCGTATATCTTCGATCAAGGGGAGTAAACGCAATATAGGTAATGTTCTGGCCAGGCTACTTAACAAATTGCTACAAATTGCGGCGATCGTTTAGCCCGTCCTGTCGGATCCGTTTGAATCTGTGGCTTTCCTATATCCCCGTCACCTCTCTTGCGGTTTAGCCCAAGGGTGTGACTCTCTCCCTGTCTCTCCTTGTTTCCGTTCGAGTCGAACGATACGGTGGTGACCACATGGCGCTCCCATATGTCCTCGCCGTTCACCCTAATGTCCGTCTACGGACTCTATCCAAGATAAAATCGCCGGGACCGAAGTAAGAAAGGATGCGGTATAAAATCGGCTCGCTTGTTGCAACAAATGACAACGGAGTCTGAAGATTTAATTAAATTCTTGGTAGCTAAGAAATAAAAAGAAAGGTTGTTTATTCGAACCGCAAATCGATTAATCTCTTGAGAATTTTTTGGATCGGAAAAAAGTAAGGATGCGTTACGAGGAGAAAAGAAATGACGGGTCGCGGACAAGTCATTAATCAATGGTTTCGAACGAGGTGCCCTGGCTCTAATGGCACTTTAAAGGCGATACCCCCGGGCCAATCAGTGATCGCGTGCCGCTCACGGATCGTCCGAGTTAATTTCACGGGTATTTAACGCGGTTTCGCTGAACAATGATTCAATCAAGCCGGATTTATTTGGCCGGGATTCTGCTCGTTGTTGGCACGAGCCGATCATTAGAGCCTCTCGTCGGATACGCCTCCGAGCCTTTCGCCATTCTATCGTGTCGTGTGACGATCCTTGTTAACCGATCCGTCACTTACAGGGTAATAGGAATGTATAATAACAAATTCAACATGCCAGCATTGTTTAAGTATATGTATAGCCCATACATAATAAATAACAAGAAATAAGAGAATTTTTAATAGAAATAAGAGAATTTTTATTTTACTTTACTGCTTCGTTGCGTAAGTGTAACTATTGGTATTAATTTGTAGAAGATCATAAGAGATCGCCGACCGCGAATTTTCTGCACTTTATCGTCAGATGAGAGGGCAAGGCAATTTGTTAGAGAAAATGGTGAAGGAAATCAGTCTAGCGATTAGAAGCGACGACGCGTCAAGTTCGTCCGGCGTAAATATCGGTGGTAACACGAGGAGCGGGAAGGGGGGGAAAAGGGGACAATTCGACGTCCGTGCGAAATGTTGTCAGGCAATTTTCTTGGCCAATGCCTCTGAATGCCGCAGATTTCCATCTAGGTCCGTGGCGCCCCGGTGTATACCGTACCCGGGTAAATACACCCTTTTCCATCCCCTCGAGCGGACGAACGTCGTCGTCGTCGCCTCCTCCTCTATCTATCTATCGTCCACCTCAATCTCCAACCACCCCTCCGCGGCCGCATGAACCACAACTGTGATTATAATTCGCAGTCCCCGCTGACAGAACCAACCGCCATCGTCAACCCCGTTTCTCCGCCGACGTTTCATCCCCATCTAACCGGGGATATAGTGGACGGGGATCGGACGGTGTGTAAAGGATTATGCACGCGGATTTAACTGATGAATCACATTGTCGTCTTGATTCGCGGTGGCGTTAATTTTCGCCGCTCGGGGTGATGGTCGGAGCCCGACACACGCGGTTCCGCGCGAAAAGAGGAGAAGAGAAGGGAAGAGGAGAGAACCAGTCCTCGCGTCGTTAAGATGTTACCACGGGATAAATTCGTGTCCCTTCGCGCGGTTAACCGCGTGGAATCGTGTGTTCGTTACAATTATTTCCCGTAAACGAGTTTAGATGTTGGAAAAAATGTGCGAACGTAACGAGATGGAATTCGTCGCGGCGATAAATCAGCTGCGTACACGACAAATTACCGATGGCGATTAATCGGACGAGGCTTATTTGGAGAACTCGTCTCGGTTAATGCGCCGTAATGAGTAGACGGGATTACGGCAACTGAATTCATCGACGGATAATTTATTACCGGTGCTTCTTTAGGAGACGAGAGCATATCCCCCGGTTGTATCTCGTCGAGCAAACAATTTCCGTTCGTTTGGAAAGGTTTCTAATCCGCCGACGTCGGACCGGTTGGGCCAAAGCCAAAATTAACCGCTTCCCATTTCGACCATGAGCGGTGATCGGGGCTTATTAATTTTGCCAATAATGCCACAGAGGGGGTGGCCTCCTTCGCACAGATGGCGTATCACGAGTCAATATACTTTTCCGCTACGAAACCGCACGTGACGGCCCACGAATTTTCGCTACGCTAATCATTTCTTTGACCTATGCCTCCCGCATATGCTCTCACAACGGGTTAGCTGTTTGTCAGCAAACGACAAACAACATTACCAAATTTCTACGAACAATGCTAACAATTAAACTAGTTCCAGTTTTGTTATATACATATATGTATACAGGGTGTTCCGGAAAGATTGTTAGAGCCGAAAATGGCAGATGGGGAGGAGCATTGTGAACAACAATTTCCTTTGGTAAAATACGAAATGGGGCTTGGTTACCGAGTTATTAACAAAAAACACGGACCAATCAGAGCGCTCGTGCGTCGACACCCAGTTTTCAAGGCAGACATTGCGGTACCTATTTATACGAGTCAAAGTGTGCACTCGAAACGAACAGGAGATGACGACGACGACGACAACGACGAGACAGCGGAGGAAGAAGAAGATGAAAAGAAGATCGAGGGAGGAGGGAACCGATGGTTCTGCCACAGTCAGGACACGATCGTGGACCAACGAAGAGAGGAGGATAAAGAGTAAGCCGGTCTGCGAGAGAGAGGAAGAGAGAGATAGCGTATGTTCGTATGTAGCGGGTGTAGAAAGGAGAAGACGAGACAAGTAGAGGGAGAGGGACGAAGGTGCGGCGAAGAGGAGGAACGAGAGGGCGACGGGGTCAGAGAGAAAGACGAGGAGAGAGAAAGGAGAGGACAACCCCCTCTTCTTCGCGGGTTGACTCGAACGGCGGCGATATCTCGACCAATCAAATCACGCCGCGGGCTCCGCCTTTTATCATTATTTTACTTGTTTTCCCTTTACTTCACCCTCATTGGATGACATTCTCTGGGCCATTTCGCGGTGAAAAAAAGCAACCCGCGCCCAACCGTGGACTCCATGCTCCCTGCGACATCCTTCGGGTGCCCTTCTGGTACCCACCTTGGTTCACGGACCACCTCCACCGGAGATTCCTTCGCTCCCAGCAGTCCTCCTCCCTTCCTAAAACGTTTTCCGCAGATTTCCACAGATCTCGTTGCGTCACCATTGATTCCATCTCGTATCATTTACTACAGACGCCTGGTTCAATACTTTTTCCCACGTGTCTTAATTAAATCGCAAGAGATAATTTTAGTACAGACGCTCGATGAAATCGTACGCGAAACGCTTCTGTCGTTTTTTTGTACAGGAATCGTTGGACTTCTCGTGGTGGCCAATTTTTTTCTATCTTTTTCATTTGATTTTTATCGTGGGAATGGACGATCGGTGAAGCACAAGTGGGCTCGATGTCGAAAAAGCCTGCTCGATTCATCGACTTCGTGATCCCGATGAAAAGCGTCCGGCCCACGTTTCGTAGCCGCGGATAAATTCGTATCGATTCGTCTAGTCTAGCGCATCGAGGCTGTGATTGACGAGGTTCCTCTCGTCAAGGATTACTCGGTTCGTTGGTCGGAACTAACGGGCTGCGGGCCACGAGTGCGTAGACAAATATATCTATAGGTATATGCACACCACTTCGCAAACCACCCGGATCTACAGAACTCGGGGCGCGCGTCCGCAAAATTATCATCCTCGAGGGTAAATAAAATCGTGTCCTTACATCCGCTTTGAAAAACGTTCGATCGCACGCCTGTCTTTGTTAAACATACGGATTTGTAGAAAACACAAAATACGCGTGTAGCGATTATTTTCTGAATTGACATCGCAGTTTTGTTTTGCATAGAAAGTCTAGTTACGAGCAAAACGATAATGTTCCGGTTGGACGGTGACGAGAGCAGAGGGAACCCGTAATTCACGTGGAATAAATTCCCCGGGGTGGACCCCTTTCGTGGGCCGAAAAAGAAAAAAAACACTCGGTCGCACCTACGTAGCTACGTTTGATCTGGCATTGCACCGCATTGTATGTATATCGGGGCCGGTGTAAACTGCTGTGCAAGAAAAGGTGAAGGAGGGTTCCTTTCGAGGGGAGAGAGTCACGTGGAGATACCTAAAAGAACAACGTTGTCGGTCGTTCGAGAAACTCGAGGGGATGAGCTAGCCA